ATTAAAAGGCAGATTCAAGCTCGCAATTGATTGTATATTCAAGTGAGCGAAAGCTAACATTGGCACTGGACGATATACTTTATTCTAAAACTTCAGAACTTATCTACAAACAAATCCTGGTGGTCGAGATTACCTTGAAAGAACCCGTAGTGCATAATCCGCTTATAATAACCGGTAGAAAATGAGACAATAATGCAATTAAGGTCTTTCTTTGAAACTCTTCTGTTCAAAGAATTCCTTTGTTAATGCGATTGCATTTGCGAATGAAGATGGACATTTTAGCCGCTTTGATATCCAACTGGGAAGTTTGGAAATGATGTCATTTCGAGCGAATCTTGAATAGAAAGTATATTAGCTGATTTCTAAGAGTCTGAAGATTTCAGAGCGAAACCTAGCGTCAAGTAGATACACCACAGCGTAGTCGTTTCTATGCCGTATCGCTCTTCCTATGGCTTGATTGATTGTATGCATGCATAAAGACTGATAAAGTTGGTTTCCTCCTCCAGAAAGTTGGGAATCCAAATACTATAACGATGAATCTGATGGAAACTATAGTTTTGAAATCTGATAAAGCTAACCGCCATCTTTTCCTTGAGCTCAATGCTGTTTTTGTTTGGATAGGGTAATCCTACCATGAAGACTGCTCGACCAAGTTCATCACTGAAGTTGATTCCTAGAACGGAATATAAATAGTCGCATGACAGGAACCGCAATTTGAGGTCCAAACTCAACTGGAATTCTCCTCAAAATTCACAGTTGGAATTCAGTTATCGGAGAATTTTGTGCCATTTTCAAAGTATAACATGTTGCGAAAATTGTACCCATATCCTCACTATAGAGTAAGGCAGGGCAGGGTATAAGTTGAGAGGTCAATACCTTCGCGCTACTTGAAAAGCTGCATTCCAACAATTCCGTGCTTACCGTATAAAATGGCTTTACTATGTGGAATAAATGTGAGCCTTGTGATCAACGTGTGAAATAATTCTAAAAGACCATTTTGCAGATGAACTAGCAATTTTTACGCCTGCAATGTATACTAAAAATAAACTAAAAGTAGGTACTTTCGCGGGAATGGATATGATTTTCGCAATCAGCATATTTAACTCCCTACCACGTAGTGTTTCAGCGAATTCAATTTTCCTTGCAATTAAGAAAAATAAGCTGTCGATTGCGCGGACCCTTTTCAACTTTAGTCCTAACAACTTTTAGTAAAAAAACTGGGGTCGCTGGGGAAGCCATATGCATGCCTCGTACGGGAAGACCTCTTTACGATGTACGATGTTTCGCAGAACTTTCCAATTTTCTAGAAGTTTTCTTCTCGAAATAAAAAAGCACGGACTTTCTCGACGACCCAAGACTTTTGGGAAACGCTAAAAATAGAGTCTTTTCGATAGCGCTTACCTTCACTAAGTTTTCCACCAGCCACAGCGAATAGAATGGCGCCAGTTCCAACTCTTGCTGCAGCTGCAAACCGATCCCATACATCTCCCCCTGCACCTCGGGGTTCCACAAAAAGGGATTTTTTCAACTAAAAGAATTAGCTCCTACCAACGCTGTCTCTTTTCACAACTATTTCGACAAAAAAAGATTTGCCTAGGAAAAGTTGTCATGGGAATAACGCTTACACAAAATA